AAATGATCAAAGAAGAAATCAAGCCCGGGTAAACATAGCTAGCTTACATCGTATCCTCTGGAGAGACTTGTCTATGGGAGAGACCTGCGGGACCGCCTCGGATTATCTATGCTCAGACTATCACCGTAGTTTTAAGCTCCCGCAGACGTTATTCCTCCATGCGTCTCTTCTCTTCACACCGCGTTTGTAAAACTATACATTATAATAGATCCACGGTAAAACTGGTAAAACTCAGTGCAGTGCAGCGGGTGCTGACTCTGAACGTGGTCTTGTTTACAAGTGGTCTCCACACGATTGTCAAGTGCCTGAGACGTTTGGAGAAATCTGGTCATTTATCAAACAAAAGTATTCTATCCTTGGCAGTCTGGTGAATGACTGAGAGGCCACCATACTTTAATAGACTGCAATATAAGATCTCAACGCTAGATGGCACTAAATATTACACAGTGTACCTTGAAGTTGCGCTAACGCTAATGTTAGCATCAGATCACAAATACAACTAGAAGGCTCCGCTTAGTGGAAATGAGAAGCCTCTGAGCGAGTTGGGTCGCGGTGCTAAACATTCAAACCTTGCAGAAACCCATATTTCTCCTTTAACAAAATATATTTATTGCTCTTGAATATGAAAAATAAGACATTCTTAGTTAGAGGTAGCATAAAACCTTGAAGCCTTGAAAACACATCTAGCTTACTGAAAAAAGTGCATCTTGAAAATAACACTTGATGTTTAGCATTCAATAGAAAAAAAAAAGTTCACCCAAAATATTTAGAGAAACTGAAATAATACAGTAACCAATGTAAACTTGAGGGCTTTAAGCTAAAGAGAGTGCTTTTCCAGCAAAAAAGAAATAATGCAAATAAACATTTAGAAATCAACAGTTATCTTAGACCTAGCTTAGTGAAAAAATCATCTTCATTCAAAAATAACAAATAACAACTTAGACTCGGACACTTTCCTTTCCCCTTAAAGGAATAGGCCACCGTTTTGACATACTGACACATGTTCTTACCTTAGACTAGTTGATATGTACCTGTCTGGTCTTTGTCCTAAAGACTTCTCTCCTGCTCAAGTCTTTAGGAGTTAGTGCGCGGACTTAGCGCTCCTCGTATTATTACGCCTCAAAATATAGAAAATCGACATGTTACATTTCTGTGTTACTATACTAGGTAGTGTAACACGTCACATAACTCTATTTAAATAGGGAAAACGTGGAAGAGTTTGGTAGCTTCTAACGGGAGCTGATTTGTTACTATACAGTATGTGGAAGAGGCTGCGTTTGTGCTCTGTTTGCATGACAGAGCGCACGGACACAGACCAGACAGGTACATATCAACTAGTCTAAGGGTGTATTCAGACCTGAAAAGTCCTTTGCTCCGCTTGCTTGATCCGAATCAAAAGCGGACCAAACTTTTTTCTTTTGCTCCGGTTCGTATTCAGACTGTCCTTTTTGCAAGTGAACTTTTTTATATAAACATATTGACACGTGTGACGATCGGCTCCTATTGGACAGCGAGAGCTCACAGAGGATAGACGCGGAACCAGAGGAAAACAGAGGGCTCGTATGTGCAGCATGTCTGCTCTGCCTATGTTTGCTCTTTTTAGACCAAAACCACCTTCAACATCAGCAGCAGCTCATATGACGCAGGCGAAACACGTTGTTTTAAATATTGGAACAGCGTCGGAGAATGCGTGAGGAGAAAGCCGAAGGAGACTCTGTCTGTGCGCTCCGTGCCCTGTCCCACACATGGATCTATGATAAAAACGGCCCTGTTCAGCATTGTGGATAAACCATGGATCTATAATAACCACGGGACAAACAGACGCTGAGGATCAGGTAGGAACCAAAGAACACAATTCACTACATGATGCGGAATATTGCTCTTTGAGACGTGAGTCAAACAGTGTCAGGCTTTTAATAATGCAAATGGTTTGAAGATGCTGCCTTTAACATCACTGTATACTGTGAACAGTTTTAACTCCATAAGCCTGTTGCACAGCGTCTCCTCACTGCTCCAGGTCTGCACACGGCTCAGTGTTGTTAGCAGCAGAGTTAGCATCATAGTTAGCAGCATAGTTAGCATCATAGTTAGCATCATAGTTAGCCGCTGCGTGGCTAATTCCTCAGTTTCTGTCTGCGGCTTGTTAAGCCCAAAAAATGCGCACGTACCTTGGAGTTGTGTCGGATCGACACCGGATGTATTCAGACCTGATTCGACTTGGACCAGAATTCGTTTGGAAGCGGACCGAGACCACCTCAAAAAGTGGGTCTCGGTTCGGTTCTTTGGTCCGGACCAGGATTCGTTTGTGTGTATTCAGACCTGCATAAAAGATTCGGATCAGAGTTCCAAACGAATCCTGGTTCGTTTAAAGTGGAGCAAATGTGCACCCTAAGGTAAGGTAAGAACATATGTCAGTATGTAAAAATGGTGGCCTATTCCTTTAAGAATACTGTCTGTCTTTATGTGTGTGCTTGTGAACATATGCCTCCAGCCAGAGTTGTCATTCTCCAGTGACTAAACTAGCGCAGCTATCATGTAGCGCGGCTAGCATGTTCGCCGATGCGGAAGTACCGTCTAATAATAAATAAACGTATGGCGCACCTCCGTGAACACGTACTGCTGTTATATAAAGTCTATAGAAGATCTCTGGACACAGAGACGCTGCAGAGCTTCCTTCTTGGAGAAGAACTTTACACAAAAAGCTGCTAGCTTAACCCCGCTAGCTTAACTCTGCTAGCATCAAAGGACTTCTGCTGCCGTCTACTCTATTAATAAAATAAACATATGGCGCACCTCTGTGAACACATTCTGCTGTTAAATAAAGTCTCTGGAAGGTCTCTGGACACAGAGACACTGCAGAGCTGCATTATTGGAGAAGAACTTCACACAAAAAGCCGCTATCTTAACTCCGTTAGCATCAAAGTCTGCTCGCTACTTCCACCGGGCGCCACCGCAGCCCAGGACTTCTGGTCTGAACACCCCTAGCCTCTGAAATTTGAGAATGTGCGTCTACTGCGCGTGGAAACTACGTTCCAGCGTCGGCAGTCTGAACGCCCCATAAGACAGCACTCGCGTACTACTACTCGCTGCCATCTTTGTTTAGAGTCTGACAAATCGACACGCATATTTTGCGTCAATGTATTTATTTTGTCGACGTCATCGATTATGTCAACGCGTTGTCCCAGCCTTCTGTGCAAATTCCCCCTTGATCCAACTCAGATAGTTACTGATCCCAAATCTGTCAAAAAACACATTTGGGAACAGTATCTGACAGAGGGGTCTATGGGGCAAATGTACAGAGTAGACAGCCCCTATGACCATTTCTCACTCTCTCACACAATACAATACAATCCAATACAATTTATTCTTGTATAACCCTAAATCACAACAGAGGTCATCTCAGAGACTTTACAAAACCATTGAATCACCAACACAGATCATAGAATCAACAGTTAACACATAAAGAATATAGAACACATGTTAAAAAATGTCCATACATGTTGTAGAATGTTAAAGTGTCCTGGATCATCACCACAGTCTTTTTTGTTGGACCCTAACCGTCCAACAGACCCTCCTGCATCGGCAAGGAAAACTCATAAGAAAAACCCAGTGGGAAAAAAGTGAGAAACCTCGGGGAGACCCATGGTTTGAGAAAGGGATCCGCTCCCACGGACGGACGGGCTATAGATCCAGGACCTAAGCTACAGAACGTGGACCAGTGGCCGCTGAATGTGGACAGGTCCGGTGCAGAACTAAAGCACTCCCAGGCGGGTCGGGCAGGGCAGTCCGCAAGTGTAGATGGAGGAGGCCACACACACACCGTTTCAGAGTTTTTAGTAACCCGTGGGTAAGGTAACCGGGCCACGGGTTTCAGGGCCCCTGGAACACGTGGCCATAAACCTTGAGGGTCCCAGGTCAGCGCTTGTCTAGTTACATTGGAGAGTGGCTTGCGGAACGTGTGGCCTTCTACTTACATTTCAGTGAACTTTTTAGAACAGATTCAATTATATGGTTGTCATCCTGAGATAATAGGCTTTACAATTAAGTATAACACGCCATAGTTTCCCATTACCATCAATGCTGCAAGTGGCTGTATTACAGATCATTGAAAATCATGTCAGCGGCCTCTGAAGATGGTGTCTTGGGCCGGATTTGGCAGGTCTGTCTCCCAAATGGCCTTGTGTTTGAACTATTCAAATAAATTTACTTTGCAACAAAAGGGGAAACAGGTATCTGAGTCATAGATAATCTTACTTGAAAGAAAGAGCCCTGGGAGTCACTATATGTCTGAGCACACATGAAAACTAGTCCGGTTTTAGAGCTAGGAATAGTTACATTGATCTCACTACATAGATAATTTTTTGTGGATTCAAAGTTAGGTACCTCAGCTTTAATTTAATGTCTTTTTTTATGACTAATAACCTGGATTCTTTTAGTGCTGTCGTCTCTCTTGTCCGCAGACGTGGCTTGTATCTCGCTGGTCCCGAATATAGATTGTGAGGTTTTTTGTTAAAAAATCTATTTAGACCAGGGCTGTTTGGGGCCGAACTTATAAACATTTATTATACATATTTTTTACGTCATGAAGGTTTTTTGAGAAATGACTTGTTTGAAAGCGGGGCCTCACGATCCTTCTGACTTTTTGGGTTTTAAGATAAAGAAGCGTGTTGTGGTCTGTGGTGTGAGAATCTTACATTAAAAAAATGGTACACCAGATTTAAGGTGGTCCTGATCTGAATATTTTAGTTTATCAATGCAACGGTAAACTCTTTGTTGTTTGCATTTTATCTTTCTTCCTCATTTCAAACTCAACAATTTATTTTTTTTAAGCTCTAAAATTGCCACTGGGTCAGGTCAAAGAGGAAAGGCTCCTCCAGACAGGAAGTGTGCTCTGTTGACCTAGAATAGTCTTCGTCAGTCCATTTCCTGTGGTCATGTGTGTCCAGACGGCGATGGCATAATCCTTAACCACTCTGTTGTGTTTGTTGTATTTGTTTCAGGAGTGTTTGAATCCTTGCTGTAACGCCACAACCTGCACTCTGAAGGGAGACGCCGTGTGTGCCCATGGACAGTGCTGTGAGGACTGCATGGTGAGACGCATTTTACACTCACAACATTCAGAATAACTAATTATTTTAAAAGAATAATCTTCACAACCGCATCTCTACTCTGTCCTTTAAAGGAATAGTTCACCGTTTTTACATACTGACATATGTTCTTACTTTACCTTAGACTAGTTAATATGTACCTGTCTGGTCTTAGTCCGTGCGCTCTGTCATGCAAACTGATAGCTAGTTTGAGGACAGTTGAGGCAGCATCAAGTTTTCGTGAGAAACTAGCTATCCGATAAGTCTCTGCTACTACTGTGTGTACTACAAGTCACGCTGCTTCTATTGACGGAAGTGAGCGAGAGAGAAATCTCCGGAGAGAAATTAGTGCGCGGACGTAGCGCTCCTCAGATTACTACGCCTCACAATATAGTACCCGTTTTATCCGCTGAGAAAATCGACAGTTACATTTCTGTGTTACTATACTTTGCAGTGTAACACGTCACGTAACTATATACATTTAATAGGGAACACTTGGAAGAGTTTGGTAGCTTCTAGCGGGAGCTACCTTTTGGGTACTATACAGTATACAGAGGAGGCTCCCGTTTTTGCTCCGTTTGCATGACAGAGCGCACGGACTAAGACCAGACAGGTACATATTAACTAGTCTAAGGTAAGGTAAGAACATATGTCAGTATGTAAAAACGGTGAACTATTCCTTTAAAAACACCAGATTGTCATGAGGAAAAACAAGGACCCAAAACGCAGAACTGCAAAATAATGGATTTAATTAAAAAGTAATCAAATCAAAATCCAGTGAAAAACACCACAAAAAGTGACAAAACAGGGAACGAGGACAAGAACTAAAACAGACGTGGAATGACAATGACAGCACAGGGAGAGAAGGAACACACAGATTTTACATACACAAGACTTAACGAGACACAGGTGATACAAACGAGGGCAGGGCAGGTAATCAGGAAACAGGAAGTAGAACTATAGAAGACCGGTCGGTAGTGATGGCAATATGAAGCCCCATGAAGCCTTGAGGGATCGCAGCCTATTACTCGGCCCATGAGTCGAAGGCTCGAGGTGAATCATGCTCCACTACGCCATCATGTGGACAAAGAAATACATAACACTCTTAAGTGCTTACAATGAATGGTGAGATCTAATGTCAAAATGTATATTTACAATCTATGGTCTAACGTGTTGAGTTTGAAATGATGCTTCATGAACTATGAACTATTTGAGTCTTTCAGTCAATTGTGTTGATACAACAAACACATCCAAAGTAATACAGTTCTACAGAAAGTGATTAATGGAGGAAAAACTACCAAGAGGTGGATTAATTAAACACAACAAACCATTTATTCCCAATAAATAAATACATTTACTTTGCAACACAAAATTTATTATGGGTAGACCAGGATTCGAACGCTATATCTTCTACTTCGGAGTCCGTCATAGACCGACTGCGCCACACTGCTGTTGTGAAATGTATTATCCAGCGTATTATTACTAATAACTTGAAGCCTTGATATATGAGGTTTTACTAAAGTGAAACGTTTTTAATTGTATTTCATATGAAGTAGTTTCTCTATACTTAGTGTAGGACTGCTCCACATCACGCACACACACGTACGCACACCCACGTACGCACACAGAGGCAGACGGGGACAGCCAATACAGTCTATGGTACAGCCGCGGATCACAAAGCACCTGTCAAAGCAATGCACTCTCCGAACTATATGAAGCACTATATGAACCGTCACGTGGTGCGGGCGCTACGCGAGGCTTCGAACGTCACCACATACGTCACCAACACACGCCTCGAACCACGCTTCAAAAAATACGCCCCTTTTTTACTCGGTACACGCTTCGAAGACCCGGCACGCTCAGCACATCACTACCGGTCGGCACTGGATCATATACGGAATTGGGATGGATGCGGAAATAACAATCCTTCTTTCAATTTTGTTTTAGACTTATAAGCCTTAAAGATGGGTAAGGTTAGGGTTATGGGTGAGTTGGGGTCATTCTATGGCAGGGGTCGGCAACCCGCGGCTCCGGAGCCGCATGCGGCTCTTGAGTGCCCCTAAAGTGGCTCCTGGAGCCTTTTCAAAAATGTCTAAAAATGGAGTGTGAGGACTATATTTTATTTCTAGTTTGAATGTGGTTTCTGTAGGAGGAAAAACAATCTTTACGTTTTTAAATGCAGTAAAAATATGTATAAGTAATATCTAATTTCAACATTTCTGTCAACGTAGTGCGTCATATCCTATGACGCGCGGTCACGCGGCCCCGCCCCATGCGGCCGCTGTTGTAAACAAACCGCCGTGTGTGCATCATAGACTGTAAGTGCACATGGATCCCAAAGCTAAAACGAGAAAGAGTCAATAACAAGACTGGACTAAGAATGAGAATGAACATTTTCTTTCAGTCAATGAGGAAGGACTGCTTCATGTTTGTAATGAAAATTTTTGTTGCAACACGAGGAACAATGACGCGCAAAACGACGTAAAAGGTGATTACGTGAAGGATTCATTCATCAAAAATTCAGAGCACCTATTTTCAGACTTTAAAACCTTCTCAAAGACGGTGAAAGAAAAGGCCATTAAGGATTTTAATTCAGCTCCAGCAAACTTCAACCTGTGACGTGATGGATATGAGCAGACAGTGATGCAGGTATGTGACCTCTGAGCCCAAAGCAGATTGATTTACTGTATTTCTACAATTGCATGAAGGCAAAAAAAATGGAATTTAAACTAAAGCAGAGTTGTCACGTGTTGCGTCATTCACGACACGCGTGGTGCGACACGCTGCAGTGAAAATACACATTTGATAATCATGAATGATTATTATGTATTTGTAGCCTTTACTTTAGGTATTAGATATTAGGCTAATATAGCTAATACATCTTGCAACCTGTGTTAACTTCATAAAAGCCTTATACAAGGCTGTTATTTTTTTGCGGCTCCAGACAGATGTTGTTTTTAGTTTTTTTTGTCAATTATGGCTCTTTGAACATTTTGGGTTCCCGACCCCTGTTCTATGGGATTGGCTGGTTAAGTTTAGGCATGGATCTATTAGTTTAGGTAGTTGATTATATTTACTTCCGCTTTTGTCCGTATGATCTAGTGCCGATCATAGAAGACACAGGGGTTAACAAATTACAAAATAAAATGAGAAATAAATCTAAACCATGACGCAGTATTTATAATGAATCTATAGCAATGCCTGTTTGATAACAATATTCTTTTTTTCTGTGTTTTTACAGTTTGTTTTTAATTAGTTTTAAATGTGAAGCACTTTGGGTTGTATTCTGTAGGAACTGTGCTATAGAAATATCTTGATTGATTGATTTATAATGCATCCATAGCAAGACCCGTTGAGTCAAAATAATCAATTATATATGTTTCGTAAAGTTCTGTTGAATAAATTGAAGTAAGAAGATAATTGCCGGTAGAAAGTGCATAGTACAGACCATTCCAGCGTCTCTGCTGTTGGAGAGTTCTATCTCCGGTGAGACACGGACCCAGATAATTAACTGAGAGTGTCCTTGGTTGAGCACGTCTCTGTATCACTCAGGCCAAGTACTGTGAAGTTCACGTCTAAAATCACTAGGGAGGTGTCTTTTCTTAGAGACATAGAAAACATGTTCTGAAGTAGAGCAGATTCCTGACAAAGAACTTTTGCAGAGATGATTAAGTGCACTTTTCTGCTCTCTCTGTCCTTAGACCTTTCTCTGAGTATCCGCTTACAGGAAAATAAGTCATCGCTGAATGTTGCTGTCATTGCTCCAGTTGTGAAAAAAAGTAAAAATAACATGCTGTCATGATTCAAAAGGAAAAAAAAATAACAAAATGCTGGACAGCTAATACAGTTGTTCAATAAAAGTAAATACCAAACAGAATTCAGAGTGAAAAATACAGAAAGTAAAGAAACAGGAGCCACAGACAAGAAGTCGGGGCAGACATGAAGTCGGGGAAGGTAATCCCACAACAGGAAGTAGAACTGAGGAAGATACAAAATAAAAAGTAAAATACATTTAAACCATGACACATGCAATATACATATGTGTGGATAACTCATAACATATGTGTGGATAAAGAAAATCAATTTTTATGAAGCATATATATACACCTTTATATGCTGAGATCTTGTTGGCTGGTACCGTCTTTCAATTCCATGTTTTAATATTTTGTATTGACCTAAATCACAACAGTAGTCGTCTCGGAGGACTTCACAAAGAGGACTTTTTACCACTGGAGCGATGACAGTAGTAAACATTTTATGACATTAGTTCATAGTTTGTGTTTTTTCTGGCTGCAAAGTTAGGTACTCCCGCTTTAACATCACAAACATAGATAATCACAATACATAAAAAGAGAACACAGATAAAATCCTTCAGTTGAGAAGGGGCCGGTCTCTCACGCCATTTCTCTTCACGAGGCCTCCCAGCTGTCCTGCATAATGAACAGAATCTTTTTAATGTGGCATATTTTCCAGCTCAAACCGGCCGGGACCCTGTGTCGAGAGTCTAGTAACTCGTGTGACCTCTCGGAGTTCTGCACTGGTGCGAGCCCCCACTGCCCCGCCAACGTCTACCTCCATGACGGTCACTCCTGCCATGACGTGGAGGGCTACTGCTACAACGGCATCTGTCAGACGCACGAGCAGCAGTGCGTGACGCTGTGGGGACCAGGTAACCGCACGGACCTAGCCGCGGACCTCGCCACGCTCGTTCATGTCTGGCCCCCGACTCCAGCTCCTCTGTGTTCTGTACAGGAGCCAAGCCGGCGCCCGGAATCTGCTTCGAGAGAGTCAACTCTGCCGGAGACCCTTATGGGAACTGCGGGAAGGATTCCAAAGGCTCTTTCGCCAAATGTGAGGCAAGGTGAGGCGGTGTGCAGCGGCTATGGATGAGAGAGCGAGATATTAAATACTACGACACCATTTCTTTTCTGGTTGTGAGAAAGGAGTGTGTTATAGTAGGGGCATGACTCTTTTGACATTAGAAAAGACCTAATTCATAGATTATGACCTTTTTTTCTACCAGCCCTACTTGGACCTACTGGACTCGGCTCTACTCTACCTGGTTGTGTTTCCATTATGCTTTAGTATTTGGTACCATTTCATATCAACCTACTAAAAGTATTCAGGGCAATTCCTCTGTAAACTACAAAAATTGCTCAAATTTGGCTAAATGAATCTTAATTTGAGGACATTTTGACTGCCTTCAAACAAGAGTGGCCAATGGGACAAGCAAAAGTATCTTGTTTTAAAAATACAAAATAAATAAATAATAGGAAATAATAAATTAAAAATAAAGCAACAGTTCTTGAAATATGACTAAAGGGCTTGTCTCATTCGCAAATCAGAATATACTCGATTCAAGCAATTATTACCTCATATTTTATCATTTTTTGCAGTGTAACCATGGCTTACAGCAGCACTGGCCAATCACCGACAGTTAAAGCACTTTTGTACAAGTTCAGCTTGGATTAAACCAGTGCCACGCAGGTTCCAAAAATGTACCTGGTTCCAGTTAAGCAGAGCAGGTGGAAGTGCTCCCAATCAGTGTGGAGTTGGGTCAAGTAGGGCTGGTGGAAACGTTGCTATTGCTACTGGTTGTGTATGAAGCCCATGTATGGTCAAATAAACATGTTTTCTCGTTTGAAATTCTTCATCCTCTTTGAAGGTAAAGCGGCTGATTCTTCTTGGCAAAAAGCCGCCAGTTCCTGTAAATTCCTGCGCCGTGAGATCTCCCCAGACTCAAGGATTTCATCATTTGAAAATGGAAAGCACATTTATTTGACAAGATATGGCTTTGCACAATCACTAACAATGAGTAGAACAAAAAGAAGCAAAAAAGTCTTTATGTTAACGTGAATAATCTTCAACATACAGCTAAAACAATGACATCTCTGCCTGGGTGTGTACCCTTTCAAACACAACCGTAAGCATGTCGGAAATGCTACCACTGTCTATTTCTGTCTGTTTTGTGTTTTTGCTTTGTAAATAATTTCTTGTAGTGTGTCAACTGTTTTATTGTGTTATGTCTGTTTTCTTGCTCTCCCCTATTTTCTGTGTTTTACTGCCTTTTATTATTGTAATTTTATTATCTTTAGGGAGACTATTCACACCTGTGCAGGGACTGCAGATGAAACATTCCTGTCAAATAAACTAATAATAAATAAATAATTAAAACTAATGAATACATAAATAATGTAAATGATATACAGTGGCACGGTGGCTGAGTGGATAGCACTCTCGCCTCTCAGCAAGAAGGTCCTGGGTTCGAATCCCGGTCGGACCAGGGCCTTTCTGAGTGGAGTTTGCATGTTCTCCCCGTGTCTGCGTAGGTTTCCTCCGGGTGCTCCGGTTTCCCCTACCACTAAAAATATGTCCAATAGTTCTGGCATGTGCCTCCTGTACTGGCCCCGCTCCCATCTCTGTGTGGAGTGAGACAAATGCCCAACATTAACAATTGTAAACCGCTTTGAGACTCAGATCTGCAGTGAAAAGGCGGTATATAAATAAAAACTTACTTACTTACTTACTTACAGTAACTGCACAGCAACTTGAAGCTTCATGCGCATTATGTCATGCTCCACAGTTTGAGAACCACTGATCTGAACCATATCCATAAAGGTGTAGATTAAAACTATACAATGATAAATGAATAGACATTATTTTGAAGCGATTGTAGAAACCTCTTCATTCAGGGGTTTACTGTGCTGGAATCATTGCAAACAGTTTTACTTTCAGCATTCTTATGAGAGTGCGCTTAATTATTAATGTATTAATTTGGACTGAGAGAAACTAATGAAATCCCTGAGGCTTTGACAAAACTGTCAATAACTTGCAACACAAGGTCTACTCGTAATTCTGTTTTGGTTTTTTTGACTCATCTTCCTTGTGTGATGTTTCCAGAGATGCCAAGTGCGGTAAAATCCAGTGCCAAGGAGGAGCCAATCGTCCCGTGATTGGAACCAATGCTGTCTCCATAGAAACCAACATCCCGCTGCAGGAGGGGGGCCGTATCCTCTGTAGGGGGACCCACGTGTACCTGGGAGACGACATGCCGGACCCCGGGCTGGTCCTGGCCGGAACCAAGTGTGGAGACGGGATGGTGAGTGTTGTTTGTGCAGAGATGCTTCGCCTACTCTGGAAATGCAAATAAGAAACACACAACACATGATAAATGAACAATAACTCTATACTGAAATAAAAAAAATCTCTAACTTTAACATAAGAAAAAAGCAAGTCCAAAATCTCCAACTGTAGCATACTGAAGAAGCAAGAATTAAATTTTAGTGCAAGAAATATATAGTTGTTTGGATTCAGGTTAGCTTAGCATTAGCATCCGAGTAGCACCGGGTGGGGAGGGGAACGCATTCCATTGGTTTCATTCTATCGGTCCACTCCAAATATATTTATGATGAGGCTACAGGCATCTGGTCATGTCCATTCCTATTTGAAAACACATGATAACTTTACAACTATTGGGGTTTAGGGACGTTTCCCCACAGTATTTTAAAAATGACGTCTGGATAAATCATTGACCGCATCTTTAGGCTTAGAATGAGTGAGAATTTACACAGATAATGTATAGTTGCAGACACAGAAAGGCCCAGTGTAGGTAGATGGCATGGATTGACTGTTTAGGACTATAGTGAAACAAATATATTCTTGTTGGAATAAAGGCCCAGTCGATTAATTAGCCAACTAAAAAGAGGTGTTACAATACATAAGAGATAATTATATTTTCAAGCACAAAAACACACAACATGAATAAAGTATGGATAAACTTGTGAATGTGATCAATCTAACTTATTAATACAAAGTAAATAGTGAAACATTCCTTCACCATCACGTCCTTATCCAAACTAACCCTTTCCTTTCCTTTGAAGAAGAAATAGTTTGTTCGTCAATATTCCGTCAACGATGAGATATTCTACCTATCAAAGCTGGACAAGCTTACTTTGTTTGTTTTTTTCATCAATACATTGTGTTAGTCCCATCAGAAAGAACCTTTTGTGAATAAATCAGGTGACAATATTTAATTTTATCTCATTAGAAAACGTCATATAGTTTACATACTGAATGGCTGAGTCAGAGCCAGTTATTTTTTGTGATTTCAAAGTGAGTTTCTCCACCTTTAAGCGACTAAACTAAAGGCTCTAGTTCTTTTTTACAGGCGCCTTTTGTGATTCTTCCTTGTTCAATAGTAAATGTGTTCAGTGTACGTCAGTGTAAAATCTCTTGTGTGGTATAATTCAAATAGAAACATGCCAACATTACTTACTCCACCTTTAGCTGCTATTGCTGCCCAGGAGTTGATGGTTCCCAGTCCTTCCATGATCCCAGCTTATGTGATGGAATCTTGGCTGGAGTCAGACACAACTGTGGGCTCATAGACTCCTCCCTCAGTCCTCATAAAGCGTTGGCATTAGCTCGTGGCTCGTGATGCCAGCGCCCCCTGTGCCCCGCCGGCTGTGAGCGCCAGGTCAGCTAGTTGATTGGCTGTTGTCTCGGCGATGCATGAACTAGAGACGCACATTATTCCTGGGCCAAGTACGCCACACTGCTCTGTGATGGCCCGAGGTTCCTCTTTTGTCATCGGCTTTTGTTCTTTCCCACAAGGTTGTTAAATTTGGTGCCAATGAGGTCATGTGTTTGGCAGAAGAGGCTGAGTCTAGCTACAATGGAGTAATGCATTCGACCGTGTTTAAATCTGGTTGAAACAGGCAACACAGCCTCCTAATCTGTTTATGTTTGTGATTGTTGATGACTTGGGACGTTCTATATTTTATTAGTGCTCTCGTCTATGTCAGTTGATCTACTTGAAATTGACAAAAAAAAACATAATGCAGCATCCACATTTGTGGATGACTCTAAGAAAAGTGGTGTGTCTGCGGCTTGCAGTACGGAGGCGTGTCGTGTAGTGACGTCACTACACGACACGCCTCCGTACTGCAGGCCGCAGACAGATACACTTGGCTATTGGGACTTTTTTTTGCTGATAAACGGTATAAATGAGTGTCCAATAGTGTTGTCTACATATCCTGGTCATAATTTTGTCACTGGTGCAAATTAGTTGAAAGTTAAACTTTCTGCCTAAAACCATCTGTGAGGCGCCATCTGCTGGCGACCTGTATTACTACATTTGAAATTTGAATCTGGCGCCACACTGGCGCGGCAGCAAGACCTGACGTCTGAAGCAAGACCTGACGTCAGCAGCCCCCCGCCCAGAGCTATATAAACGGCCCAGTCTCGTTCACGCCCCCTTTAGTCCTCCAGGCTACGCCCATTTAGAGGAAGATTTGAACAGGAAATGTGAGTGACGTAAGCTCCGAGGAGCGGGGGTGAGAACCACTTTAAAATTATATTTTGTCTATATTTATTTTTTAACCCTAACCCTTTATTTATTGAGTGTGTTAACAGTAATAGACATATAGCATTCAGTTATATAGAAATAAAATGCAAAGAGAAAAAATAAGATACAGCTGAATGTTGACCTCACGCGACTGTGATTTTTGACAACTCGGGACTTTCTACTTCTTTTGAAAAGTGGATTGAAGTAACAAGAATAACATATTGTATAAGTGTGCTAGTGCCTGTCTGTTGATCTACTTGAAATTGACAAATAAGAGATGCAAAAGGGTGCAAAGAGAAAAAAATAAAAATACAGCTGAATGTCAACCTCACGCAATAGTGATTTTGGACAACTTTGGACCCAATAGACTTTTTTGCGTCACTTGTATCAACAATCACTACTTCACCTTGTCCCATTTTCTATCTGATTATGGAGGCCGCAAAAGGTCAAAAACATAAGAGTCATTGAATGCTAAACTCTAAATATCGACGTGATAATATTGGTAGCAATTCATGGATTCTTGGAACCCTCCTCCAAGGCCATCGTTTTTAACCTAACAATTTTAAAATATTGCATCAGTGAAATGTCGAAAGAATTAAAATGACTTTATACAACTTTATATATATATTTCACTCGGGTTCTCTCAAGGGTGTCCTCTTCATCTTTTTAAAAACGTATAAAACTTCCGAAATTACCTTGTTTTTTACTTTGAAAAGTTTGCAAAGACAGATGAAGATTACATGCTGTGTCAGTGATTAGTATTCAGTGAGTAGCAAAAGCTCAAACAGCAAGGCCTCACAACTTTTTACATTATATTTGAATAAACCTGAATCTGTATAAGATCTTTTTACAACAACACTATCTTAAAACGCATTAGTCTGTGGGTATAACATTAATGTGGTTCTGTGTAAATAAACTGCACCGAGGGCAATGTTAGAAAGTGCTTTTTACTAGCCAATATTAACTTTATTGCTTTTCTTGTGAAATCCTTTGGTAAGTAAAGCGTCGCTCATTTGCCGTTACGCGGAGAGAGCCCTGAGTCTTTTCTGACATTTACCTTGAGCTGCGGAGGTTCTGTAACATTTAGTGGTCATCGGCGCTTATTTGAATATTTATGATCAGATTTTCTATTCAAAATGCCTCAGAATTATGGTTTCTTTTACAGGTGTGTCTGAACCGCCAGTGCCAGAATGTGAGTGTGTTTGATGTGCACGAGTGCTCGGGGAAGTGCAACGGACGTGGGGTGAGTGCAAAACAACTCTTACCTTTCTGTGCTCGTTACTCGTCTGTTTAGTCTTTAACCAACCCATACGTTTTCTGTGATTATTACACGTCTGTTTAACGAAGGACTTGATCAACTCTCCAAGCAGAAGGAAATATACATGTTTTGCTTTTCACAGTCACAGTGTAAGGTTAAGGTCAAGGTTAAAGAAGAATGTATATGCATTATTTTTGTCCGTTCAAAATGATACTGAGACTATTTACTTTCATGTCTTTGAATGTGAAATAATATCTTCAGTAGAAAATATATGGTGAAACAAGTATGAAGGAGAAAACCATCTTTCCACCTGTAACTTCCTATACTAACCACCAGAGGGAGGAGATGCAATGATTGTTTTTGCAAACATCAACATATGACTGTAAAGAATGTAAAAATCACTTGAGGATTTGCAAAAACAATGTTATGGGCAATAATTTTGTTTTAAGAGACAGAAAACTGAGTGTGATGTCATAGTGGTGCAATGACATCAGACTTTTACAGGATTTAAACAGGAACTTATAAACCGAAGGGGCACATTTGTGCTAGAAGTACCTGGTATTGGCGTGGATGGAGCTAAAAGCAACTCTAGGTCTGTTTTTTGATGAGGGAACAATGTTGTAACATAGCCAAGATCTGTGAGAGTCCCTGTTCAACTCTAACAGAATAATTGCTATTCCAGGTCATGGGTACTTGTCTTGCACAATGTCTTTATTACAGTCCACTGAGATGGAGAACGATTTTATTAGAGGTGTAACTTATTTTAACAGCCAACACTATGCGTCTTCTTTAAATAGTAGATTGAAGTAATAAGACATATTTTATATTTATAGGACTCTAGACGATAAAACACAGCAACATGCAGCATCTATATGTGTGGATAGCTCTTAGAAAATCAGTGGGATTGGGACCAACGCAGCTTGAAATAATGTTTTATATATATATATATATATATATAATTTTTTTTATAGTGAAGAAAATAAGTATTTGAACAGAATCAGAATCAGATCAGAATCATTTTTATTGCCACGTAAGTAACAGGAAGTCACAGACTTGGAAATTGCTTTGGCTCAGTGCAACAGTCAGAAAGAGATAATAAAAATAAAGAATAAAAAACACTTCTAAGGAATACATTTAAATTTAAAATAGAGTTACAGTTACTATTTAAAACATACAAGTGCACATGGTGCACACAATGTAAGGTGACAGCAGTACAGTGAAGTAAAGTGACGTATGATGGGCAGTAAAGTGACTTTATAAAGGGCGGGGGGACAGGTTAAGAAGTGTTCAAGACTCCAACAGCAGAGGGGAAGAAACTGTTCTTGTGGCGGGAGGTTATAGTCCTGATGGACCGCAGCCTCCTGCCTGAGGGAGTGGTTGGAATAGTCCATGTGCAGGGTGAGAGGGGTCGGCTGTGATACGACCAGCCCGAGCTCGGGCGACGTATAGGTCCTGCAGCGATGGAAGGCTGCGGCCGATCACTTCCTCTGCAGAGCGCACAATGCGCTGTAGTCTCTGTTTGTCCCTGACTGTGGCTCCAGCGAGGGGGGAACAAACAGACCACAGCGCAAGGTTCTGGATCAAGGTTTGATCCAGAACCTTGATATGCTTATGCTATGTATATATTTATACGATGTCAACCCCAACCAACCAACCAAAACACCCCCTACCAGGTCATAGAAAAAAAGATTTTTTTTTTTTTAAACTGACACATACTTGCACATACACATAGAGAAGGAAACATAGTGACTTCAAGTAACTATATACTTATTATATCAATCAATCAACTTTCCTACACAAGGAAACACAAAGTGCCCCATTTCACATCAGACATAAATCAAAAACATTCAAATCTACTTAAAGATGATTTAACAATATGATGAAAAACAAAGGTATTGGAGGATTTTCCCAAATGTTAGGAAAGAACCGGCCTCCCCACTTTTTAAGAAAACTCTCACCAGAAGGATTGACAATTGGGAGGACCAACAGTCTTGATGATCCACCCGGAAGTAGAAAATCCTCCTTTATACCTTTATAAGATCACAAGAGATATTAAAAACATAGCAAATAAAATGACACAATTAATCAAGAACATTAAAATTACACATGGGTTTGAAATAATAAATTTATTAAAAAGAGAAAAGATATAATCCCTCAATCTGTCTGCAGCAACAAAAACAAATACCTCCAATCCACATTTTTAATCTTCTTAATCTGCTCCTTTTGTTTAACTTTGCTTATTGCTTGACTCACCAACAATATTGAAGTTCAATCTGCGTCGCTGTTTCTTTAGTAATTTGCGTTCAATCATTTGAGTCGTTACAACTATGACCTTTCCTACAATTTCAAAAGTGTCGCTCATTCAGGCTCATTACAACAAAATGCCAAACAACAGAAGCAGATCATTCCGAGATCTCCGGATTAAAGGGACGTCATTGTAACAGAACAAACAGAACCGGTTCCACTTAAATTGAGAATTCCCAGTGAATAAATGCATTCTGGGGATATGCATTTATTTGTTTTTTGCAGTTTACACAAGCCTCCCAGTACTTGCTCTGTGCTCACATAGCATTTGACGTTAACAAATTGCCGTTTGATCCGGGATGTTATTGTACATAAATGGAATAGCATGAGTTGGCTCTATAGCTGCCTGATAAAGCCGCAGCCGAAGTGAAGATGATAAAAGCCAGATGTTTCCGTTCTATTCATGTCATTGCCCCCTTTCCCTCTCTCCCTTTCTTTTATATTTCAATGAGGTGTTGTGCGAGTGCTATATTCCACTACACAAATACAGATAGGGTCCCTACTCAATCACAAACGGCCTGTGATCCCCCAAGTACCTCTTAACCTCAGTTTGAAGGAGTGTCCCGGGGCAAAGGGAGGAGGGGGGAGTACAGTGCAGATCCCCCTCCGCTGACAGCTGGGCCGCCTCATGTCGCCTGGGAACACTCTTGGATCCGACTCCAGCTCTGGAAACGGCAGACATTTGAAGGGATGGACCCCTAAGACCGGAACACATGTTTTATCTATGACTACGAGGGCTGGATATACGACACTGCAGTAAATATGCCATAATGTAACAGTATAATAATATGGCATTTGTTTTTTTTAAGGACAGTAAAAATCAAGACAAACAGTAGAAATATAAGCAGAACAAAAAAACTGAAAGCAAGGACATAAGGGACCAACAAAGACACCAAAGAAAACAAAAAACTAAAACTAAACTAAAATACAAAACTAAACAAAAAACAGACAAAACACAGGATTTTTCACATTTAGACAAAAACTAAAAGGCATTAATAATTCGATGACTTTTTTCAACTGAACATTCTCCTAAATTGTGATAGTGGTCAACATAATGAATAAAGCTTGCAGTATTTAATGATTTTTTGTTACTAGAATTGTTCATGAAAAGTTTCCCTATGAGAAAAAAAAAAGTACAATCTGTTTAAATGTTATGTCTCCAAAATACATACTGTACATGTAAACAAATGTCATCTATATACTGTATATATGTGTGTATATATATATATATAAACTGAAAGAACTGAAAGCAGCCAAGTCCCGGCACAGAGAACGACTACAGGAGCAGTTTGGTAACAACGATACTGCTTCTGTCTGGAGGGGCCTACGGGAGATCACCAACTACAAACCCAAAGCCCCCCCCTGTGCTGATGACCACAAGCTAGCTGACGAACTGAACTTATTTTTCAGTCGCTTTGATGCTGCCCCTGACACCTCTCCCTCCCCCACCCCCCACTACTCTAACGACCCACCCATCAGCCCTGCCCCCAGCCTAACAATAGCCGCTAAAGAGATTAAACAACTCTTCTTGAGGCTGCACCCCCGCAAAGCTCCTGGCCCGGACCACGTGTCTCCGGCCACTCTGAGACACTGCGCCAGTGAGCTTACTCCTGTGTTCACGGACATTTTCAACACCTCTCTGCAGTCCTGCCATGTCCCGGCCTGCTTCAAATCCTCCATCATTGTCCCCGTCCCGAAGAAGCCCAGGATCACAGGACTCAATGACTACAGACCTGTAGCACTTACGTCTGTCGTCATGAAGTCATTTGAACGCCTGGTTCTCTCCCATCTCAAGTCCCTCACCTCCCCCCTACTGGACCCCCTGCAGTTCGCCTACAGAGCCAACAGATCTGTAGACGACGCCATTAACCTGGCCCTCCACCACATCCTACAGCACCTGGACTCCCCGGGGACCTACGCCAGGGTCCTGTTCGTGGACTTCAGCTCTGCCTTCAACACAATCCTGCCATCCCTGCTCCAGGACAAGCTTTCCCAGCTCAACGTGCCCGTTTCCACCTGCAGGTGGATCACTGACTTCCTGACGGACAGGAAGCAGCGAGTGCGTCTGGGGAAGAATGTCTCGGACTCTCGGATTATAAATACAGGAGCCCCACAGGGCTGTGTTCTTTCTCCCCTGCTCTTCTCCCTGTACACCAACCACTGCACCTCCAGCCACGACTCCGTGAAGCTGATCAAGTTCGCGGACGACACCACCCTCATTGGACTCATCTCCAACAACGATGAGTCCGCCTACAGGAGGGAGGTGGACCGGCTGGTGTCCTGGTGCAGTGGTAACAACCTGGAGCTGAACGCCCAGAAGACAGTGGAGATGATTGTGGACTTCAGGAAGAGCACTGTCCCCCCGCCCCCACCCTCCCTGATGGACTCCCCCATCACCTCTGTGGAGTCCTTCCGTTTCCTGGGCACCACCATCACCCAGGACCTCAAGTGGGAGCCGACCATCAGCTCCCTCATCAAGAAGGCCCAGCAGAGGATGTACTTCCTGCGGCAGCTCAGGAAAGCCAAGCTGCCTGCACAGATGTTGGTGCAGTTCTACACGGCCATCATCGAGTCCATCCTCACCTCCTCCATCACCGTGTGGTTCGCTGGAGCCACAGTCAGGGACAAACAGAGACTACAGCGCATTGTGCGCTCTGCAGAGGAAGTGATCGGCCGCAGCCTTCCATCGCTGCAGGACCTGTACGTTGCCCGAGCTCGAGGCCGGGCTGGTCGTATCACAGCCGACCCCTCTCACCCTGCACATGGACTATTCCAACCACTCCCCTCAGGCAGGAGGCTGCGGTCCATCAGGACTAGAACCTCCCGCCACAAGAACAGTTTCTTCCCCTCTGCTGTTGGACTCTTGAACACTTCGTAACCTGTCCCCCCGCCCTTTATAAAGTCACTTTACTGCCCATCATACGTCACTTTACTTCACTGTACTGCTGTCACCTTACATTGTGTGCACCATGTGCACTTGTATATTGTAAATAGTAACTGTAACTCTATTTTAAATTTAAATTTATTCTTTAGAAGTGTTTTTTATTCTTATTTTTATTATATCTTTTTGACTGTTGCATTGAGCCAAAGCAATTTCCAAGTCTGTGACCTCCTGTTACTTACGTTGGCAATAAAAATGATTCTGATTCTGATTCTGATTCTGATATATATATATATATATATATATATATATATATATATATATATATATATATATTAGGGCTGTCAAAATTATTGAGTTAACGCACGTTAATTAATGTTTTTTCATTAATCGCATTAAAAAAATTAACGCTTTTAACGCAAGTGCCAAATGACTAGCACCCCGCGTGTGTGACCGCGGGGCACTTGCTGTGAATGGGAGTCCGCAGCGTTCTGGGGCAGCTGCGGCCACTTTGCGGCCAGCAGCTGTGAGCGGCTTTCAACAACACAGGAGCGCACAGCCGTAACATGGCCATGTACCCAAGGCCATGCACACGCACAGGACCATATCTGCTTGTTGTGTGCGTGTAACCAGTGCACACAATAAAACAGTGCTGCAAGAAACGGTCCGTCTCCCCCGTGTCTTCTCCCGAAGCGAAAAAAATGCTAAATTAAAGCTGGAGTACCTAACTTTTCCTTTGCACTACCATTTAATGTTGGTTGTGCCCAAAAGTGAAATGTTGTGAGCCAATCAAACAGATTTAATGACAGCCATTGCATTTCAGACTTTTTTCAAATGTCCCTCGTCCCTGTAACAAACAATGGTTTGTAGAGGCACAACAATGAAGAGGATCCACTGCCTTTATGAGACAGAGAAGAAGAAGAAAGAGGAGGCTTTAGCTGATGCGGAATATGTCGAGCTGAAAAAATAGTGTCTACTAAGACAGAATGTTAATAATGTTAATGCCATTTTTTTAGGATATATTGTTATAATAAACAAATACAGTACATATGTACACTGTGTTGTCATTTATCTTTCCATTTATACAACCATTTACAGAAAATATGCCATCATTTTGCCGATAGTTCAAAATGTGATTAATTACGAATAATAAATTTTTAAGCTGTAATTAACAGCCCTATATAAATATAAACATATGACATTTGTTTACATGCATTGTTTTGGGGTCTCGCCTATAAGATAATGCAGCTTCCTGGGAGTTCCTTTTTACTACAAATGTTTGAGTGAGTGTATGACTTGTTGAAGTTTTGTAAATGCAAAAGGATCTATTTGACGTTTTGGGTTGAGAGCTGATTGGAGTGAAGGCGCTCCTATTTTTCACTTTTCTGTCTGTAAAAGCTGATCTAAAAATGTGACAGAAGCCAAAATAAATGCATTATAATTGTTTTGTGGTTTGAAAGTCACGTACCCCAGCTTTAAGTGAGTAATGTACGTCAACATCAGGAGAAGTGCTGGGACTCGACCCTTTTGTTTTTCCGCATGCGCATATATGTCATTTTATTGATTTTTTAATATCCTGAACCTGGATGTGCATGTTCTGTTGTTGAAAAAAATACAAAAGTTGTAATTAGTGTGTTATGGGTTTTTTTCAGGTGTGCAATAATAAAAAGAACTGCCACTGTGAGGCGCTGTGGGCTCCTCCGTTCTGTGAAAAGGCGGGGTTTGGAGGCAGCGTGGACAGTGGACCAATGAGACTGGCAGGTACTGTTGTCACCTTTCACCCCACCTCATTACCATTTTTATAGTTTTTCATTGTTTTACAGCTTTTTTCACACTGAGATATATATATTATGTGCAGAGTCCCTCAAGAAAGCGGAATAGTAGTAGTAGTTCAGTAGTACAGCATTTTTTCTGATTGGTGATTTATAACTATTCAAGAAGTTAGTTCACTTGTGAGCAGTTTTTCTACATAGACATAAATAATGGTTGCTATGTTTCTTCTATATATTTTTTTCCTTTTTAGAGAGTCAAAGATTAAAGCTGGGGTACCTAAATAGTGACTCATAAGGCTGTGCAAAAGATATCTTTGTGGCTTGATTTATTCACAATATATTACTATTATGAAAATCTTTTGGGTAAAAGTAAATACGTTATATTTAGAAGGAATGTTTGGTTCCTCAGCTGTAGTGATGCAATGAGTAACGTTTAAAATAGGGCTGTCAAAGTTATCGCGTTAACGCGCGTTAATTAATTTTTTTCATTAATCAGTTTAAAATAATGAACGCTTTAAACGCCAAATGACTAGCACCCCGCGCGTGTGACCGCGGGGCACTTGCTGTGAATGGGAGTCCGCAGCGTTCTGGGGCAGCTGCGGCCGCTTTGGACAGCGGTTCCCGCGTCCAGCAGCTGTGAGCAGCTTTCAACAACACAGGAGCGCACAGCCGTAACATGGCCATGTACCCAAGGCCATGCACACGCACAGGACCACTGTGTGCACTGATCACGCACAGGCATGAACAGTGCACAATAAATACAGCGCTGCAAGAAACAGTCCGTCTCCCCTGTGTCTTCTCCCGAAGCAAAAAAAGACGCTAAATTTAAGCTGGAGTACCTAACTTTTCCTTTGCACTACCATTTCATGTTGTTTGTGCCCAAAAATGAAATGTTGTGAGCAAATCAAACAGATTTAATGACAGCCATTGACATGCATTTCAGACTTTTTTCAAATGTCCCTCATCCCTGTAACAAACAATATTCATAGAGGCACAATAATGAAGAGGATCCACAGCCTTTATGAGAGAGAGAAGAAGAAGAAAGAGGAGGCTTTAGCAGATGCGGAATATGTCGAGCTGAAAAAAAGTGTCTACTACAGAAAGACAGAATGTTAATAATGTTAATGCCATTTTATGTGGATTTATTGTTATAATAAACAAATGCTGTACATAATTTTGCCAATAGTTCGAAATGCGATTAATTACGATTAATACATTTTTAAGCTGTTTGGGGCGACAGTAGCTCAGTTGGTAGAGCATTGGCCTTAAGGCCAGAAGGTCGTGGGTTCAATTCCCACCTCTGCACCTTCTCCACCGACTCCCACTGATGACTGCTGTCGTTGTGTCCTTGGGCAAGACACTTAACCCCACTTTGCCCAAAGCCCCCACTGAAAGATCAAGGCTATGCTCACACTCAGAGAGCAGCCGTCCTCCTGTGGACTCACCACCTGCAGAGGGTCAGTGAGGGGCTGGTGCTATGAGACTTGGGTGGCATCTCTGACTGCCACCCCCCTGACCCAGAAATGGATTAAAGGGTAGAAAATGGATGGATGGATGGATGGATGGATGGATGGACATTTTTAAGCTGTAATTAACTCGATTAAAATGTTTAGTCGTTTGACAACCCTAGTTTAAAAGTTTATTTATTTCTGAAATTCAACTTAATGAAACTAATACAAGATTTTAAAAGACTTGATTTTCGCATGCCGCTGTAAAAATGGCGCTGTGGCAGGAGTGCTGTCCTGGTGCATACTGGAGTAGTCTTGCAGAGTTTTTCCAATGTGGTTTCACTGGCAAATGGCAAATAAAATCTCAAATTGAGATAGCGACGTAAAGTGTCATAAGCCAAGTCTTTGTTTTTTAATCAGTTTGGCTACAGTCCATTTTCAAGATATTTAGTTTTGTAAAGTTGTGAGCCAATTATCAACATTATAACAAACAGCATACAGACTTGCTACATCCCACTTGTGCGTGTAAATCTTATATTAGTTGGAATTTAGGAACTGTTTTTATACATTTATTACAAGGTTTTCTTGCTAAATGATTCGTATATCTATAAAAAAAAAAATTACATTGTACGTTAAGATAATCACAGGTCTTAGTTCCTCTACCTGCAGTCTGGATGTACTACCTCCTAGATTCCTGAAGTCTGTTATGTGTAGTCTATTACCCTCATTGACACAAATAGTAAACATGTCTTTTTTATCTGGAACATTTCCAATGGCCCTGAAAAAGGCAGTCATCAGGCCCCTCCTAAAAAAGAGCAGTTTGGATGCTGCGGTACTTGAAAATTACCGTCCCATCTCAAATCTGCCATTCATGGGAAAAATTCTTGAAAAAGTTGCCTACCAACAACTTACTGAATTTTTAATATCTAATGACTCATTTGACATGTTTCAGTCTGGCTTTAGACCACACCACAGTACTGAGACCGCTCTAGTCAAGGTAACAAATGATATTCGGCTTAACACTGATGCAGGAAAAGTCTCTGTTTTAGTCATGTTAGATCTGAGTGCCGCTTTCGACACCGTTGACCATGAGATTCTCATGCAGAGACTGGAGGACTGGGTTGGTGTTGCTGGTACTGCCCTAAGCTGGTTTAGGTCCTATCTAGAAGAAAGGAAGTATTGTGTGGAGATTGGAGACTATGTCTCAGATAATATGGCCCTGACCTGCGGAGTGCCACAGGGGTCGATTCTGGGACCTCTCCTGTTCAATATTTACATGCTGCCATTAGGTCAGTTAATTCAAAGTATGAAAGTGTCCTACCACAATTACGCTGATGACACTCAGATCTATGTCTCACTGACTGCAGGAGAGCATGGACCGGTGGACTCACTCCTTCACTGTATCCAGCGGATCAGTGAGTGGATGCAATGCAATTTTCTCCAGCTAAATGCGGACAAAACCGAAATGATTGTCTTTGGTCCCGAGAAACAAAGAGAGACCGTCATTTATCACCTTCAGTCTCTCTCCCTAAGGCCTTTAAATAAGGTCAGAAATCTGGGAGTAATAATGGACTCTGACTTAAACTTCAATAGCCACATTGGATCGCTAACATCAGCAGCTTTTTATCATCTGAAAAATATTGCCAAAATTAAAAATATTGTGTCCAGGGCAGACTTGGAGATTCTTATCCATTCTTTTGTTTACAGTAGGCTGGATTACTGCAATGGCCTGCTCACAGGTATCTCCAAACATGCAGTAAAACAGCTGCAGTATATTCAAAATGCTGCAGCTCGAGTCCTGACTAGAACCAGGAAGTACGACCACATTAGTCCGGTCCTCAGGTCTCTGCACTGGCTTCCCGTGGCCCAGAGGATAGACTTTAAAGCAGCTCTCCTGGTGTACAAGTCTCTCCATGGCCTTGCACCAAAGTACATCCATGATATGCTAGTCCCATATGAACCAGCCCGGACTCTGAGGAGCGCAGGGACGGGACTCCTGTTAGTGCCCAGAGTCAGGACTAGACAGGGGGAGGCTGCTTTTCAGATCTATGCAGCTAAAGTCTGGAACAGTCTTCCTGAGGATGTGAGACTGGCTGCCTCTCTGTCAATGTTCAAATCCATGTTAAAGACTTTTCTTTTTTCCTATGCATACAACTAGAGAATTTTATCTTTTTAACACACCTTGTTATTTATTGTTGTAACTTTTTGTGTTTTTAACTATTTTATTGTTTTTAATTACTTGTGTGATTCTTATGTTTTTAAATTACTTATGTGATTTTAATGCTTTTTAATTACATATGTGTTTTTAATTGTATTTTAATGGTGATGATTTGTGCATTGTGTGGTGTGGACTGTGAGGCGCTTTGTGTTGCCCTGTGCAGGAAAAGCGCCCTATAAATAAAGATTGATTGATTGATTGATACGTTGAAGTAAATGGGCTTTTTAACAATATTGTCGAGTTCCACTTGTATTTTACAATGCAGTATTAATGATCTAAGATTGTTCCCAACTTTATTAAAACTAAACTAACTTTACTAATTCCGTTAAGAAAATGCTAAACAGTCTGGAGCTGCCTGAATCCTCTCTTTCATCCTCTTCATCCTCAGCCTTTGTGTTGAACTCTTCATCGTCTCCTTTCATCTTCCTCCATCTTCCATTTGCACATTTCTGGATCCTGGGTGTGTGCGCTCTTTAACCCTGTCCCCCCTGTGGCTCTTGTGTGTAGACGTGCGTGCGTGTGTATTAATGTGCGTGTTGTCATATGTGGCGTCAGCGGACAGCGTGGTGGTCACCGTGGCCGTGCTGGTCACCCTCCTCAGCCTCGTGCTGGTCACCGCCCTGCTCTTCGTCAAGAGGAAGACTCTGCTGCGCCTCTTCTTTCACAACAAGAAGAGCACTCTGGAGAAACTGCGGTGAGGGGAACTATAGCTGATCTCAGTTTGTTCAGATGCAGACGGATAACTGAGACACAAGTCTTTAAAAAAGTGATGTTTAAGTGTTTAAAACAATAATCATGGGACTATAGAGTGGTGGATTATTCAAAACAGTCCTATCAAGTGTTCAATTCTATTCCATTCAATGTATTTTTGTATAATAACGACGGTAGTTACCTCGGAGGGATTTACAAAGAGACTCAAACAGTTCATACACAAGAAATGCAATAATAAAAAACCAGTGGGGGCGGGTACCGGCTCGAAAGTGGCCAAAATGACGTGCGCTGACATGCTTGCATTACCACCCCCGGGCCGATAACTATTATTCAATGCTAACATATAGCATTAGCTGACCTCTGGATGGTCTTTATAGGATGGTCCAAAAGTCGGCTCTTGGCCCAAAGCTCCGTTCCACATGTGTGTCAATGCTGAGGGGGGTGAATTTTTTTTGGACCAGTCAATAGTGTAATAAGGGGCAGATGACCGATGTCCAATAGCTGTGTTGTGAAGCATACAGTTATATAGTTGCATAGTCACCCACAGGGCTGTGTGTGTGTGTGTGCCTATGTGTGGAAAAGGAAACTTGTCATTCACTAATTGCTTGTTCGTAAAGAGGCTCATGCATGCTTCTGGTGTGTATGCACCCGGGTAACTACGGAACCTGTAATGTAAAGTGTTATATTGTATGAAAACTGTATGCTGCCTGTAATCTCCGTTATGAATATTTATTTATCTGCAGCTGGACACATGTGTTTCAGTCATGCATAATCTCAGTCCTATGATTTTTCTATAGAAAGGACCTACAATTATGTTTGTATTTTCTTGAATTCATCTGAAATGCTTTAAAGTAATCACACGGAATAGGAAGTAGGCACTGAAGCAGATTCCTTGCTTCTTTCTTCGGCCAACTCCTTTTGAGTTTCTATAACAGTGTAATGATGTAATGATGCAAACTATATTTGTAAGAATTGCTCAAATAAACTGAACTAAACTAACAGATAATATAGTTAACTATTTACCATAGTTACGGAGAGTAAACAAACGCTATTTCTCGATTAACCTAACACACAGCTTGTAGCTAGCTGCAGAGGACAAAATTATGGAGCAAATCCAACAGGTATTCAAGCATTCAAGGACTATAATAAGTTGTCATTAGTCACTAGTGGTTGTCAAGAACACCTATTTCCTCTGTAACTATGGAAACAATCACTTCCACAATCAGGTGAATAAGAATCACTACTTTCATTGTAGCTCTCGTTGATTGATGGGGGGGGGCGAATAAAGCATCTCTTAATCTTAATAGGAAAGGTCTCGATTCCAATTTGAACACAACAATGATTATGAAAACATTTACGTTTCTTTTATTACAGAGTTAATTCAACTTTTTCATATTATGGAACATTAAAGCCTTATTCCAAAATGCATACAATTCTTTTTTTGTCACAATTCTCTAAAATTTGGTGATTCAACGAGATTTCCATAATATATCTGCAATCTTTTTGGATAAAATGCAAGGGGGGAAAACGGTTTAGAAAGTAGTATTTAATATTACTAAATGTAGAAAATGTGAAGGAGGGCAAATACTTGCAGTTTTTGAATAAAACAGCCACAGAACTAGCACAACCATAACTCTTAAAAAATCCTTAAATATTGTAGTCATAGCTTGTTAATTGTACATTGTATTTAAACATTTTCCATGCTCCATTCTCCAGATCTATGGAAACGGGAAGACCAATCAGCCCCATCAGATCCCAGTCCTTGTATCGACCTAAAGCGCTGCGTAAACCTCCTCCCAAACCGTCGGCCGCTAATATTTACAAGGTATGTCTGACTGTGCCGTCACTACACACAATACCCAGCACCAGCTCTACATCACTTTCCCCATTTCCCTATTTACCTGCATTCCCTTTCGCCATAATATTCTCCTTGTCTCCTTTCTGCCGCACCGTGCTGCATGTCAATCACAAACTCCATTAGAGCGTTGACAAAGCTGCTCCTATTCTCCTGCTCAGGTTGAGATTGTTGACAGCACCAGGTGATGCCACGCTGCTTTTCTATCTCCTCAAATGCTAATTACAAGCTTTTGTGGACAGCTGGCACTGGACTTTGAATGAGAGAGATTGATCTAGTATAATGCAGTAGCCAGAATCCAGGGTATATAGCAATTACAGCCATTCATGACGCTTATTTGTGATGGAGGGGAAGACTTGAGATGTCAGAAGAGAATACGTTGTTTTTGACATTGTTTGGTAAAGTAGGATGTGTGTGGGTGGGCTGCAGTAGTCCCCCAGTCTTGGCTGATGCCTTTATAAACTGTATAGACTTGTGATTCCTGTCTTTTCATACTGTATTTTGAGGGGTCATTTTTCCAGAGAATATGGATGAAGATACAAGAATAATCTATGAAAATCAATTTTGGCTTGAATTAAACATATTTGACCAGCTAATGTCTCCAAACACTAGTTGCTTTTGTTAACTTTGCAAGATTCTAATCAGAGGCCTTTCTATTACAAGAGGCACTGACATAATTCAGCTTTGACAGAACAAACAGGCATAATGGTCTTCTAACGAGCCGTATCAGAATAATAAGAAAATGAGAGGGAGAAAATGAGTAAGTAAGTAAGTAAGCTTTATTTAGTAAGTAATAAGCTTTATTTATATACCGCCTTTCACAGACCAGAGTCACAAAGCGGTTTACAATTGTTATTTTTGGGCATTAGTCTCTCACTCCACACAGAGATGGGAGCGGGGTCGCCGAACAGGAGGCGCATGCCAGACCTATTGTACATATTTTTAGTGGTAGGGGAAACCGGAGTACCCGGAGGAAACCTACGCAGACACGGGGAGAACATGCAAACTCCACTCAGAAAGGCCCTGGTCCGGCCGGGATTCGAACCAAGGACCTTCTTGCTGAGAGGCGAGAGTGCTATCCACTCAGCCACCGTGCCGCCCACGGAGAAAATGAGCTCCTTAACTCTAGAGTTCCCAGAATTATGAAACTACTAGAACCTTAACCTCAACTCAGAACTTTTGAGATCAGTCAAACTTTTCTACTCTGTGAACAGACTGGATTATTTGTAATGGGACAGATTCACCGGGGTTTGACCATACCAATGAAGCTTTCCGAACAGCATGCCTATCATCCCGAACCCACTGTCCCAGTACTAGCTGCGGTTCGGCGGCTCCAGGCGGGCCCCCGCCGTAAAGGCGAGAGTTGTTGGAAGAGCTCTGTTTACGACGCGGAAAGCGTTCAGCCCTGGACTTAAATGCGTGAGGCCATGGACATGTCCAAGGTCACACGCAGCGACATAATGATAGCAACAATTGAACAATGCCTGTAGAGACGGGAACAAAAGCACAACGCCAGCAGCTATCCATGTATTGTCCCATATCCCTCTTGTCTCAGATTTATTTAAACATATTCATGAAACCCGTGTTTCCACTCAAATGTAAATGGTGATATGTCTCCTTGTATTTTTGGCAAAATTGTGGAATTAATGTTAACCTTATGCACCTAACGTTTTTTGGAAGTTAAGGCTAACCACATCACATAACTTACTTTATGTGGTAATGTTCAGGAAAAACAGAGCTGAGACAAATGTAATTCTGGAGGGATAAATCACATGTCTGATTTTCAATTCGACATCATTCCCCAACAGAGTGAAATACGATTGAACAATAATCAAATTTTTGCTATTTTACTGCCTATGGGCCTTACACATAAAGGCATATCATAAATGACCATTATCAAATACGGCGTAGTTGGTTTCCAGCAGATACTGTAACATGGCAGAACTGTTGTGAATCATCTGAAGCTAATTGACGACAGCTCCAAACAGAAAAACATTAATTAAAGACTCCATTGTGCGCATGTTTGTTATTCGGAATTCTCTGTCAAAGATTGTCCCTCTCCTCCAAAACAGCCAGTTTCATTCGCGCGATCTGACTTAATCTTCTGTCATTGCAAATAAGGATTTAAGCATTTGTGTTGTTCTCATTCCATTATTCCATATTTCTCATCTTTGTACAACCCGACAACAGTAGAAATCCAAAACAACGTTTGCGAATATTTGGCATACACCTATCCTTATTATCATATTTCCTCATCCTATCATCAATCTTTTATTGCCCTAGAGGCCGTGTGGCGTCATGTTGGCTATAGACAAGTTTTGATTTAAGAACGAAAGGCCGTCATCACAAAGCGCACATGTTCGTCATTAGAGTAGAGGTAAGGAGAAATCTTATTTAAATTCTTATTGACTCAGTTACATCTCTGACTCAGGAAACTTAAAACGTTTATCATAATGCGGAGACTTGCTTATTTTTGTATATGTGTGTATCCGAAAAGCTATTTTTTAATTGATGTTGAAAATATACAACATTACATATACATTGTATACAAAGTCACATCTTCATGTCATTCTTGATTCTAGCCAACACAATGGTGCATTATACTGGTTTACATGAAAAAAACCCTATTAAGTTGCATTATACTGGTTTACATGGAAAACCCCTATTAAGTTGCATTACTGTATACTGGTTTACATGGGAAAAATCCCCATTAAGTTGCCATTATACTGGTTTACATGAAAAAACCCTATTAAGTTGCATTATACTGGTTTACATGGAAAAATCCCTATTAAGTTGCATTATACTGGTTTACATGGAAAAATCCCTATTAAGTTGCATGATTACACTGAAGTCCTTGAAACTGTTGAAACCTTGAAACTGTTGAAGTCCTTGACACTGTTGAAGTCCTTGAAACTGTTGAAACCTTGAAACTGTTGAAACCTTGAAACTGTTGAAACCTTGAAATTGTTGAAACCTTGAAACTGTGGAAACCTTGAAACTGCTGAAGTCCTTGAAACTGTTGATGTCCTTGAAACTGCTGAAGTCCTTGAAACTGCTGAAGTCCTTGAAACTGCTGAAGTCCTTGAAACTGTTGAATCCTTGAAACTGTTGAATCCTTGAAACTGTTGAATCCTTGAAACTGTTGAATCATTGAAACTGTAGAAATGTCTGAAAGAGCTGAAGTCCTATTAAAATGCATGGGCCTATTAAAATGCATTGCAGAATTCTCAATGCAAATTAATGGCAGAATTCCCAAGCCCGTAGAAAAAAACTGGAAAACTGCAGAACTCTAATTTTTTCTGAAAACTCACAAGTTGTGGAAGCTGAACATGCACAAACTGCAGAAAATGCTGAAAATGTTGAAGAAAATTCTGAAAACTATGAATTTGTGGAAGCCCCATTATAAGTCAATGGGAAAAATCGACCGATTTTTGTCCGATTGCGGAAAAACCGGAAATCGCTGAAGTCCCAAAAGTAATAGCAATAATCTCCCAAACATGTGGAACGTTTTGATGTATAACTTGTGGAAATTGTTGAAAATGTGAAAGCTGTGAAACGTGTCAAAAATCAGGAAAAAGACGGAATAATAACTAGAAACCGTTGCAATGGCTGAAGCCATTGCGATTGACTGCGGAACAGATCTAATGTGGAATTTAGCTGAAAAATCCTTGAAATCCTTGAAACTGTTAAAATACTTTAAACATCTTTGAAACTCCTGAAGTATTTGAAGCTCCTGATATCCTTTAAACTGTTATCCTTTATACTGGTTTACATGTAAAAACCCCTATTAAGTTGCATTATACTGGTTTACATGGAAAAATCCCCATTAAGTTGCATTATACTGGTTTACATGTAAAAAACCCTATCAAGTTGCATTATACTGGTTTACATGGAAAAATCCCTATTAAGTTGCATTATACTGGTTTACATGGAAAAATCCCTATTAGGTTGCATGATTACACTGAAGTCCTTGAAACTGCTGAAGTCCTTGAAACTGTTGAAGCTGTGAAACTGTGGAAGGTTCCGCAGTCAATCAATAAAGAACGTGAAAACCAATGGTTGACTGCGGAAGGTTCCGCAGTCAATCAATGACTGCGGAAGGTTCCGCAGTCAATCAATGACTGCGGAAGGTTCCGCAGTCAATCAATTAAAATGTGAAACCAATATATGATATAGACCTGAGACATGCCAAGCCTTTGTTTGTAAAAATGTTGAGGATTTTGGATTACAGTGCATTTTCTGAATTTTTTTATATGGGTGTTTTCTTTGCCTCTACTGGATTTTTGAGCAATATCCAAATTCTCTGAGTTTCACTTTTTATGTTAAACACATTTAGGGAGATGTTTGTACCTATTCAAAATGCAATGTCTATGAGAATATTGTTAAGTTTAACTAGAAACCGTTGCAATGGCTGAAGCCATTGCGATTGACTGCGGAACAGATCTAATGTGGAATTTAGCTGAAAAATCCTTGAAATCCTTGAAACTGTTAAAATACTTTAAACATCTTTGAAACTCCTGAAGTATTTGAAGCTCCTGATATCCTTTAAACTGTTATCCTTTATACTGGTTTACATGTAAAAACCCCTATTAAGTTGCATTATACTGGTTTACATGGAAAAATCCCCATTAAGTTGCATTATACTGGTTTACATGTAAAAAACCCTATTAAGTTGCATTATACTGGTTTACATGGAAAAATCCCTATTAAGTTGCATTATACTGGTTTACATGTAAAAATCCCTATTAAGTTGCATTATACTGGTTTACATGTAAAAACCCCTATTAAGTTCCATTATACTGGTTTACATGTAAAAACCCCTATTAAGTTCCATTATACTGGTTTACATGTAAAAAACCCTATTAAGTTCCATTATACTGGTTTACATGTAAAAAACCCCTATTAAGTTGCATTATACTGGTTTACATGTAAAAACCCCTATTAAGTTGCATTATACTGGTTTACATGGAAAAATCCCCATTACTGTAAGTTGCATTATACTGGTTTACATGAAAAAAACCCTATTAAGTGGCATTATACTGGTTTACATGAAAAAAACCCTATTAAGTTGCATTATACTGGTTTACATGGAAAAATCCTATTAAGTTGCATTATACTGGTTTACATGGAAAAATCCCTATTAAGTTGCATTATACTGGTTTACATGGAAAAAACCCTATTAAGTTGC